TATATTTTAGTAAAAATCCAGTCAGGCAAATGGATATTCATTTTTCAGTCATATTAACAATCATTTTTCTTATTAGTATTATGATTTAAAGCCCACTTACTGTTTTGTCACTACTATGTAACTACTAAAAACTTAAGTGGTACCTACGTTATTACTCCCGGTATAATTTTTTGTCTGTAAATATTAGGAAATTGGACCTTAAAATCCGGCCTAAATTGAAACTTTGCACAGTTAAGCACAGTGAGACTATTTGATGAAAATGGTAAAAGTTCCCAAAAATACCGGCTGTGCCTCAGCCGCATTAAGTCCGGATTTTAAGGTTGAATTTCCTAATATTTACCGACAAAATAATTATACCGGGAGTAATAAGTAGGCCTACCATGTAAGTAATTACATAGTAGTGAAAATATAGTAAGTGAGATTTAAACTTACTAATATTAATAAGGGAAAACTATTGTTAATATGTCTAAAAAATAAATTTCCATTTGCCGTACTGGATCATTACTTAAATATATCCTAAAAATGTAAGATATATTCCCTATTTAAATAACTTTAAATTTAACGAGTACTAGGTTTACTGCTATAGGGAGTTTACTAAAGTGTATATTTATGTTAAATATTAATAACTTAGTATAAAATAAATAAATTTGCCAAGTTTGATAAAAATATATGCATAAATAAGCAAACTGCAACAATTTTGTTTTCCTCCTTAAGAATAACATGGGAATTTTTTATTTAATAATAACTTTTATTATTTATCTCAATAACCATTAGAGATAGAGCAAACCTTGTAGTATAAAAAGATGTATTTTTAGACGTTCTTTAACTTTTGTATTTACAAAAATTCTCTAATATCAATAGTTTGTGAAATATTGTAAAAAAGTGAAAATTGGCCGCCATTTTCCAAGATGGCGGCTGAAGCACAGCAGGGATTTATGGGGACTTTTGAAATTTTATTTATTTAGGCTTACTAAACAACTGTGCAAAGTTTCCACTTAGTCCGAATTTGTTAGGTCGAATGGCTTTATTATTCCTAAAACTCTTGGACTATTATGAGTAAGAGAATATTAACTTCCCTTTGTAAAGTAAAAACCTATATGAGTTAAACGAATCTGCATTTGATTAGGGCTGTATTTTTGAAATCAAATCGTACAACGATACAATGACTGAAAGCAAACATATAAATAGAATAACAAAATACTTAAGTATCAAATATTATCATATAAAATTGACTTTATTGTTTATTTACAAGAATTCCTAAAGACATCCTTGTTTTATTTTCGTCACTTTATATCGCGTTACTGGAGAGATAATTTTTACATTATTTTAAAGTGCTGTGCCTCGCTGTGACATCAAAGGGTATCATGCAAGTATTACACAAATATCTCAAAGATCATCCTCCTCCTTTGACTACAAAGCTCAAAGGGAATTATTTGCCAATATCATAATATCACGAGCATCATGAACTGGCGCCTGTGAATGAAAAGCAATTACCAAGCTTTGATAATATCGTTTTTATATACAAGCTCGATCTCATTCACAGATTTTGTTTAACTCCCTTTATTTAGCTCACAAAGTGTCTTTTAAAAATAGCACATTTGTTATTATTCTCTTGATAGTTCTTGCATTAATTTCATTTTCATCTTAATATTTTGTTAGTTTGGTCCTCCCACTGCATAAGGGTTGGATTTGGTTGTCATTCCTACAAATGTATACACTCGTCGTTTACACAAACATGTATGAGAGCATCTGACATACACATTCTCAGGCTGTTCAAGGCTAGTTTACTGTAGAAAATACACAGGTGCTGAATAAAAACATTAAATAAAATTTGGTTTCATAGTAGTATATTCATAACAAGAGTAGAAAGTGAGTCATTACATATTTGAGACCGTGTTTGAGGTGTGAGATTATCGATCACTTTAAATGGTCGAGAAAACGGTATAGACCCACCTTCACTCGTGATTTGAACTTTACTTTTCGCTACCCTACAGAGACTAATTATTTTCTTAATCAAACAGACTTTGGATATTTCTTTGTTAGTTAGGAACATTAAAAAACTCATAGAATGTTTTAGGTTATGCTTTCAATTTAAATATCAACGTTGGTTATACAGTTTTGGGTTTTGCAAATTGTAACAGTCGACAAAACAATAACAAATCTTTGTTTGTTTACGTCGGCAAAATTCAAAAAAAGATAATAAACACTACTTTCACATAGTAAATATTCTTTTTCCGCAGTAAACAATGTAATGATGAATTTTCGCAGGTGATAAACATGTAACGAAAACAGGTCATTTCATAGTAGTGTAGCGAAAAAGTGTTTTCGGTTAAAAATAAGCTCTAACTGATTCCCAAAATATTATTTGAGGTGGTAAATTGAAAATTCAGATTTTTTATACGTTAGTCAATTCAAATTTGCAATTATGTATGCAAATTCAAAGTATTTATACAGGGTGATTACACATTAAATAGACAGTTAGTATTTAATTTAATTTAAAGTTTGTCTATTTCATTTGTAATCACCCTATATATTAAAAAATACCCCCGCCGCAGCAAACCTGCCGTCTAAGCGAATTTCCATTTGGCCGAATTGATTTTCAATTGATCTATTTAAATAACATTAGGTTTAACGAGTACCTAGGTTTGCTGCTACAAGGAAACTAATAAAGTAGTGTGTTTTTAGTAAAATATTGATAGCTTACTATGAAATAAATAAATTTGCCAAATTTGATCAAAATATATCCATAAACAAGCAAACTACAACATTTTACAATATTCTCCATAAGAATAACATGGGAATTTTAAATTTACCATTTTTTAAGTTTTCTCCGTAACCAATAACCGTACAAAAACACTTTGATATACTGAATTGTTTGTTTTTTTAAGCTCTTTAAGAAGGTTTAGAGAAAAATTGGGAAATTTTGTGTTTTGAGGGTAAGAAGTGAGAAAAACCAATTTTTACCCCATAAAACCCCCCATAAAACCCTGTTCCCATGGTCCGATCATGCTGGATCGCGAACTCATTCAAGTTTATCCCGCCATACACCTTCAAACCAAATTTCATCAAAATCGAATAAAAATTACTCAAGTTATCGTGTTCACGGACACATATATATATATATAAATCTATATATATATATATATATATACCTATATATATATATATACATATATAAAAATTTGAACGAATGGTGTTTTTGGCCTCTGGGGACAGTAAAATGAAAAAGTAAATCGGTCCCGGGCCTAAGTCTTACCATGAGACCTACGGTAATAGCTACTTCCCTATAGGGAAATTCGCTAATATGGTATTTATCTATCATAAGTCAAATTGTAATATCTGAGATATATTTATTTTAAAATGCATTTCAAACTTCGTTTGCATTGAGTTGAAAACAATGGGAAAGTTATGTGGATTACGTCTAGATGACCAAGTATTAGCTACTGTATAGATTCGGAGCAATTATTAACCATGTGTAATCAACCTTAAAGTTAAGAATACAATGGAAACTCCATGTACAGTATCGAAACTTAAATTTATTTAATTAAAATACAAAATTGATGGTAAAAGAAAATAAGGGGTTCACAATATAGTTTACAATGAGTGGGGGATGAATGTAACAATGAAAGCTTTAGGCTAAGCCTATTACAATAGTTTTAATTTAGGTTCAGGTGTTATAACTTATTGCATGGATCTCAGGTCATTATCTCAGGTGGGGTGATCGAGCGGCATTTGAATTTAATCTTGTGATTTTATATAGCCTAATTAAAATTTTCTTTTGAAATATAAAATAGGTTCAAATTATTTTCTGATTGGTTGAATTAATGACTTGATTAGTGTTTTTTGACTTTTAAATTCTGGTAGAAATGTTCAAAAGTTAGGCCTAAAATGTTTTAATGGCTTCCAAGGATAGAACATGTCTACTGGAGTGATCTCACCAAAAATTGATGTCTTCTTCACAGTAAATTTCTTGATGTAGTAATTATTAATGTTCTTAACAAGGACGGTTCTTCTTTAATCGAATTTCAATAATTAAGGTTCAAATATAGGCACTTTTTTTATAAAGTTTGATATTAAAATATGTAGTATCCAATTTACATCTTCATACTAGCTCAGCTCTCTTGAAAGTGATGCAGGTTTGATGCATAGTTGCACTCACATATGTCAATGCTGACTTAATCACAGAGAATCGTAGGCCACTGTTCACTTATATATATTATAACAATTTTAATTTGCTAGAGACCTAAATTAGAATTTTGAAAAGTTATTAAAATAAAATTATATTGAATTTGAAGCAATTTTGTTACAAAAAGTTATAGGCTATTATATATTTACATGAATTTAGGTTATTTGAAAATTTGCTATATTATATTGTATTAGAACAATTACCTATTGGTCTGTTTGGACATATATTTTACAGGGTTTGATAAGGGGAGATGGATTGACATATTGATAAAAATAAGAACATATGGTAAAAATTAAATTATTCTATTGAAAAATATTAGTGGAAATATTGAATTGTTACACATGAATATATCTTTAACTGATTAGTTGCAAGAATTCCATGAAACAACCATGGCACTAACTAACCATGAAAACAGACTCAAAGATAAGTGTACACACAGATGATTGTATTTGTAAAGCATTGTTCAACTCCTTACTCACCTCCCACTCAGAAATACGTTTAAATTGTTAATAATTGTTAATCGACACTAGAAAAGACCAAAAAGCTTTTCCCGACATAATGAACTTGTTTTTTGTCGAGGTGTTGTATCTTGACATTGTAAGCCTCAGACCCAAGTTAAAATATTGTGTGTGTAGGCCAACATTGATAAACTAGCAATTGCGATTCCAACCATAGAATACAATATTAGTTGGATATACCAAACATACATGTTAGTTTAGGTGTAAACCAGCACAGTATTAGCGTATCTCTTAATTGTTCCGCTTGTTTAAATAAAACAAGAGTCACAATCAACTTCGGCTCATCACAAAATGATAACTGATAAGTAATGAGTAGTAACTAGTGTACACTACTACACACACTCTTAGTTTCGTATTCTCACACACCTTGTCAAATAACTTAAGAAATGAATACATTAATAGTTTGGGTTTTGATAGGTAAGAAACAATTAGTTGACCTGCTACATTTTATAACAATAATTTTATTCTGGTATATTTGTTTACAAAAACGTATGCGATAACAATTAAAACAAACCTGTCTGTGTCTGTAGAAGTCACAAAATACTTATTCAAGGTATCACTTGAAACGAAACCGCATCTCGGGTCTAATGTACGATGCTATTGAAGTTTTATTTGTTATTAAAGTCATAGTTTTCTATCCAGCTTGTGTTTACTTTCAGGGGTCAACATTCCCGGTCTACGATCACAGAATGGTGAGTAGTAAAAATGCATAATCTATAATATAATGGTAAATTATATAAAGTTCATATTTTCTGAGAATAAGGAAATAATTCCAAGTTTTAACACATATATTTATCAAGTCGTAAACAAGAGGCCAGAATGTTGGTTAAAACATGGTAGTTTTTTAAAAGATGTGTTAGGGTTGAATTAATTATACTACCATTAGTGGACCAATTTTGTGTACCCTTATGTTGCTATGAATATTGTATTTTCTCAACATTAGGAAACTAGCATATATTTTTTTTAAATGTTAGAATAATAATTATTTAAATACCCCCGCTGCAGCAAACCTGCAGACAAAGCGAATTCCATTTTCTCTGATTGGAGTTTTACTAAAATACTTCAATAAACAAGACATATTTATTCGAAATTTAAATAGCATTAGATTTAACGATTGTTATTGATCGTATATCATTATTATTATTTATCACGTTTTTTAGCTGTCAAATAAAGCAAAATCAGGTGCACGCCGACTTACTTAACCTTATTTTACACCAAAAACCATTGCATTTCAGTTATTTGTAATTCGATCTTTTTGATCTTAATAGGGAATTTAAATGCTAAATAAAAGCGGCCTAGGAATGTTTTCATAAATTTAGCCTTAAATAAAATTAATAAAATTAGTTCTTTTCTAATTTAAGTTAAATAAATTAAAATGGACGCCATTTTGACATTTCCAATTAGAAAAAGGAATTTTTACCCTAACATAACTTAGGTCTTTTTAACCATCGTATACATACCTAGTTTCATAAAGATTGTTTAAAAACTTTAAATATAACAATGGTTATGAATAGAAAAAATGAGGGATATCTGGGTAAGTATGCATTTTCGGACATACCTTCACATTAACTTTTTTCTTTATTTTAGTATGAGTATCCATTATAACCTGAAAGAAGTATCCTTAAGTCCTGAAGAAGGTTTTCCAACACCCTGTGTATCAGTTGGAACGAATAAATGGTGTTTTTGGCCTCTGAGGACGTCATCAAAATGAAAAATTAAATCGGTCCCGGACCGTGCTACCTACGGTAATAACTACTTCCCTATAGGGAAATTCACTAAATCTCAAACACTCTTTCCTTTTCAGTTTATCTTACTTGGCAGTGTAATACAGTAATTATTAAACTCTTGATTTAAACAAAATTAACCTTGGCTGTGTATCATTGTTTTTTTTATTGTATAGTGTACGATTCATTAGTTCCGATACACCATTTTGCTGAGGTGAATACTATATTCAATCTGTATTCCTTTTTCTTGACAAAACTGTTTGAACTCCTTTGATGAATACTCACCTACGTTGTCACATCGAATTCTAGCTACTTTCGCTCCTTTCTGTGTATTCATCTCTTTTATATAATTGTTCATATTCTCTGATGCTTCTGACTTTTGTTTTAACAAATAAACCTTCACTTAATGAGTATAGTCATCCGTTATTGTTTGAAATTATTTGTAATTTTCTCTTGAAGTTGGAGTTATTGGTCCAGAAATATCAGAATTAATTAATTCTCCAATTTGACGACATCTACGTCCATTGTGGGACCTAAAAGGGGGTTTAATCGTCCTTTCAAACATGGTTCACAGATCTCATCAGAAATGGGTAATCCCATTTTTTTAGGACCTTTTCTCTTTAAATGTCTCAATCTCTGATGCCATAAGTTATTTTGTTTGTTAACATTTCAAGATTGTAAGAATTTTTATGCTTATAAACTCCCTTAAGCCTAGTACAGAATAATATTGAGGCTTTTTATTCCCATAAGCGATATAACATGGCTTAGTAATTAGTAAAAGTATAAATAGTATCATTTACTGGTATCATACTTGATGCACTTTATATACTGTTAAGAACTATGGTAAAATATGGTTACGTATTCACTAGAGATGTGTAAGGACGGGAACGCAATTTACTATCCGAGTCAGCAATGGGCAGGACCTCCTGGAACCTGTCAGCTTCACCGCTGCACCAAACTGATAGACGGCATCGTAGCAATATCCATTCAAAGGTGAGTCAATATTTGAGTTTATTCTGAATGTATAAGACTCTTTTTGAAACAAACTGAATACGGTATAAAATACGAGAATTTATAGGATGGTCATTAATTTGTCTCATGCTTCTTGAATTACAACACAATTTGGAATCTTTCAGGTGCCCTGAAGAGAAACTTCAAGGCGTTAGCAAGACAGGGTCCTGCCAAATAAGTGGTATTGATAGAAGTAAAATGTACCCCCAGTGCTGCCCGACGATATCTTGCACGAGAGTGGTTGGTGGGCAAGCTCCGTGCAACCGCAAACAGATCAATATGATAGATGATGACTACTTGGATCTCGTATTGAATTGAAAACAAGGCATAAGACTACGAAGCCTTCCGCCGACAGAGGAGAATAGTACTACTGTACCTACTTCCTAAAGAGTCACCGAAAGTGAAATAAAAAAATACCAAGTTTTCCTCTGACTCAAAATACATTTATTTACAGCTCAGCCGTTATTTACACATGGTATCAACAGGTTAAGAAATGTTTAAGCCCTTTGTTATTGTTGCAAGGCAAACAATTGGGACTGAGACTTCACAGTAGTCATTACCAAAAAAGTGGTTAGTATGTAACAAATGATGTTATCACTAAGAAATATAGTTGAGAATTATGGTCTTACAATAGATGAAAATATAATATTCTTGCATTTGTTCTGTCCTGAAAGAAAACCAAACTAAAAAAAGATAAATCTTTTTAAATTGTATTCATGCTGTTAATTTTAGTCCGTAAAACTTTAGTAGTTCAAAGTTTATAGCAATAAAACTCATGTTTTTCAACTAACTTACACGTAAAATAAGCTATTAGTAACCGAAAAAATTATTTTGATTCAAAGGTTGCACAGACCTTTACATTACAGGGGATAAGAGAGAAAGTTTTCCTTCCAAATTTTAAGGATTCTTTCTCGATATTTCAAATCACTATTAAAGGATTCATACGTGTTTTTGTCTGTTGTGTACTACTTACAACTTACATTTACGTTCACCTGTAAAGACTCACATTATGAACTTATCTTAAAGTATCTTAATCTGGTCAATGAATCCAATTTCAATAACTTTTTTACCATGGTGGATAAGTTAATAAGGTATAATAATGATAATGTGCTGGATAACATTTTACGAATTGAGAACGAGTAAAAATAAGACTACTCGTTGCTTTTTATGTAACAAAATCCTTCGCTTTTAATGGAATTCGGTTGGTTATTAAGTGCTTTTCTAGTTCGAAAAATACAACCAGATACTAGCCCTAAAAATGTGTGGTACGGATATGTAAAAGCAGTTAACTTTATTTTCTGACATCTCCATCGGATAACCGATACAGGGGTAGATTAATCAGGTTTCGCTGATATCCCATTAATTGACTTTGTGGTTTGAATGGCTTATTACATTTAGGTGTATTAAACACATAATGTGGTAAGGCATCCTGAATATGATCAATAACCCTCGATTATGTTAGTGTACATAGCTTGAAATTGTTTATTTAATTTTGGCGTTTCAGTAATAGTACTAAGAATAACTTAAATTGTAGGAAACAATATTGGCAATGTGTATTGAATTGGTTCAACAGTCATTCAGTACTTCCTGCGTTAATTCAAATATTAAATATTCAAATTTTACCAGTTTCAAAATGAACAACATTAACACAAGCCAATCCCAAATAACTATACTGATGAACCGTATCGACTTTTTGTTAATATCTGTAAAAAAAACTATACCTGTTAATAACTTAAAATGATTCACTGAACATAAAACCAAATCTTGGACACCTACGTTTTATCGTGTAATTATAATGACTTAGTAGGTTTATGTAAGATTGGTATAGATAATTCAATTCAGACAACCATGAATAGTTAATTGTTTCCTGATACAATAAATGTCACCCTGACCTGACCCATATATTCAGCAATAACAACCAATTGTTGTGGATGAAGGAGACAGCATACTGCGTAGCATCGCCTCACCTTCGCCTAGTAGCAATTACTGTATGTTGTGTCTATACTATTTGATTGTGTTTCCTTCGTCGGCAAAACGTATAGAATTGTCACCCCTTATACATATACATTTATAAACCATAACCAAGGCCATACTGGCCCTGATGTGCTTTGTAACACAAGTAGAGCAAAGAATTTAAATTCAGCAAACATCGACAAGTAGGAGTCAACTGTTACTGTTTGAAGATGCACATCTTTGCGAATGTGTTGGTTCCTGTGGTACTTCGACGTAGACATACCAGTTTAACACTCCTGTAGACAGATTTGGTTCATTATTTTTTCCATTCATGGTTTGGACAGATTAATTCTTGCTGTTGTTTGTTGAATATGACGGTGCGTACAAAGTACTCTCTTTATGAACTAATGCGTGTGGCATTTCATGAGGGGGAGGGGTAGAGTTATGGAGTACAACATGGAGTAACAAAGACTGTAACCCATTTATAATACTTGAAGGCTCTTTAACAAGACATAAGAGCACAATTTAAATAATTTTTTGTCGTTTTTATAAGGGATAAATCATCCCATAATTTTGCTTTTGGAATCTACTTTACGCTTTACACTGCCCGAAACAGTGGAAAAAAGATTGAATAATAACCTATTTTATTTTTACAGGTGTCATGAGAATCTACAGACATAACACTCTTATACAAAATATATTTTACAAGCTACAGAGCCTGTTGTGGTTAGATACAACGGTCTCTAGGAAAATAACAGTTATAAAATCCATGCACCCCTTTACTCACTATTATTAATGGCACAAATTAAGAACATAGCTTAGAAACACACACATAACATAGGAACAAACTCACAAATGCAAATTGTGAGTAACAACATGCAGACAAATGAAATAACACTACAACAATCAGCTGTTAAATTATCAACACATGTTTTATATGATTAGATTAGGCATACCGGAAAACTCATTATTGCCATAAATCTTTAAAAAATCCAATTTTCATAATTATTTGCAAATATACATGGATGAAAATTTTCATTGACCTATTGTTTAATAAAATCTGGCAAGTAGAACTGTATATTTAATCCTACAAAGTTTAACGAAAATATCTCTAACTCAGCATTTTCTCCCCACCATAAATTAGGAGGTTGCTTAGCTATTTTTCATATAACTTTTAAATAGTGAGGAAATTGAGCAATGTGCAAAGTAAGATTTTGTAAGAGGATATAATTTGCTACAAATTAGTGCTATGCATTTGTTGAAAATACCCAAAAATGGCAGTCATAAGTTGTCTCCAAATAAAAAATGTGAAAAACACAGTATTCTATGTATTTCTTATAGAAAAATGTTTTGCATTTAATTTTCACCATAACTCATAACGAAAACAAACTTTCATGATTATTTGCAAATCTACATGAATTAAGGTTCCCAATTGCCCATAGCTTAATAAAATCGGTCCAGTAGAACTGTAGATTTATATTTTCTTACAACTTTGGAGGTTATTTATTTTTTTTACAAATAACTTTTAAATGGTGAGGAAATCGACTAAAGTGGAAGGTGATATTCTGAAAGGAAATAAAATTTACTACAAATTACTATTATGTATTTCTTGAAAATACTTAATAAAGGCAGCCTAAAGTTGGCTACAAATACAAACTTGGAAATAAACACTTGAAAAAGCAGTGTTTAATGTATTCTTGGTATTTTTGTATTTTTTCATCGAAATATTTAATACAAAAAATTTCTTAATTATTTGCAAATCACATGAATTGGGCATTCCAACGACATATTATCAACAAAATCGGTCCAGTTGAAGTTTAGATTTAGTTGTACAAAATTTAACTAAAATATTTCTAATTCAGTATTTTCTAACAACTTTAGATTTGGAATCACTTGGCTTATTTGCCAACTACTTGTAAATTGTCTGAAAATTTACTAAGTTGATGTGATATTTTTAAAGAGAATACAATTTCTTACAAATCACTACCATACATTTATTGAAGTTACTTTAGAAATTCAGTCAAAAGTGGGCTAATATTGTAATAATTGAATAATTGAAACTAATAATAATTGAAACTAACTAATAATTGAAACTTGAAAAAGCAGTTATTAACGTATTTATGTTTTTTTGTAATTTTTCTCTACAAACCATAACAAAACTACGGCTCTTTGTGGCTTACGTTGCTTCATTGAAGTTAATAATTAATTCCAGACATGGATGATAATTCGACAGTTTGTCTTCAATTCTACCATATAATGGTAATAAACAGTAATATGAAATTAGTCAATGTGTATGTTTGGGCAGTTGGCATTTGGTAAATTGGAATTACCCTTAATAAAACTTTATCACTTAATACAAGATCAATTAAATGACACTCGGCAGATTAAAGGACCTTACAACTGGGGGAAACAGAAAATCAATTTACATTAAACGCTTCCTCTAAATCACAGCCAACCTTTATCAGTAATGAGTTTGTCTCGAGCAAACCTTCAGTAGCCCAGAATATCTCCGATACATCGTTATGCCTTATTTCAATGACAAACGGGAAAATGTATTTTGACAGTATAATCACACTATGCCTTTGATAATATTATCTTATATAAAACAAAACTTTTTAAAATATTATGACCGCTAGCCTGACCATACTACTAGACCAAATTACACGCGGTTGGTACCACGTAGATATTTTCCTGCAGATGTGCAGAATCCCTTTATAAATTAAAATTTACAAAAAATAGGCACAAAAATTAATTTGGAATAAAAAAATTAACATGGGCTATATGGGTTGCCATATTGGTAACGGAATAACAACAAAATATAAACAGAAAATCAAAACAGATGGAAGAAATTCCAACCACATGTTTTATTTACAGCGAGGGGTGAAAATAGGGAAGTTTGCACAATGCATACTCTTGGTCGAGCTTTCGACCACGGGGCGAGCTCTCATCCTATCTAAGAGAGTGTCAATAAACATTTTAATAGATTTTTTTATAAATTAGCAAAAGTTAGGAATGAATTGAAAAACACTGTGAGTGACATATCAGTAAAGCCTTGTTGAAACAAAGTTGAAAAATGCGAGTAGTAGCGTCGCTCAGGCCGCAGGTGTCGACTTTTGATTGGACCGTTACACAGTGTGGCTTTGATATAAAATGTATACAATTTGAGATCATGTAGATGGAATTTAGTTTTCACACTTGCAAAAAAAATACCAACGTGCAAGAAAAATATAACTGTTCGCATATACCCGTCAAATTACCAAAAATCACCCCAAAATACTGTGATAAATTATTTAGTTTTTGTTTGCAAAATTTATTCGGCAAGCCGTATCGCCCCCCTTATACCAGATCTTCGTGCGTAGTCAAGCTCGCTTATAAGATAGGAAATGAGATGAATAATGCATTTTCCATTGAAATTATTGTTTCAAATTTCCCAAATGTTCTTCTAATCAAAGTAAAAGCTGGGCAGTATGATACAGCGATGCAATAAGCAGTGC